GTTATGGAAACACCAGAAAAAAATATTGCATGCCTTGTTGTGATTCACAGCATTTGCATTGGAAATGAAGACCCGATTCCCTTCTGCACTCAAGATTGTGTGTGTGTGTGTGTGTGTGTGTGTGTGTGTGCTTGAGAAGGAATCTTTTAAATCTATTCTTCAAATCTCAAACTATTTCAGTGACACACTAATCATGAAACGCCACACAACACAATCTGTTTTATAATTAGTATGTCGTCTACGAATGTTTACCAGTTTGTAACAGCTTGAAATCTGTAAACGTGTCAACAGGCTCCAAATGTACAACCATGCATACTGATTCATGCAAAAAAAAACATTTGTTTATAAAAAGGAAATAAATATCTGGGAGAAAAAAGAGAGTGAACAGATGCTATGAGCCTTCTGGGTGACATTGCTTTTCTGTTGAGATGGGAAAGAGAATTCTGGGTGTGTCCTTCCTGCTGCTGCTGATGCTAGGTTTTCATCTCAGAGCTCTTTTATTGGCAGTTCTTTTATTGGGAGTCCTTCGCTATAAAACGATGAAACATAAAGAGTCCCAAATGTGCAGTCAGAAGGATGCACTCAAATGTTTCGCACTGGAGCTCATTTTCCCTGCATTCATAAGTTGGCATTTTCCATGAACAGAGTACGAAATAGGGACTAAAGTTTTTTTTTATGTCATTTTTCATTTTTTTTTTACAAAAATAGATGTTTCATTAACTTTTGTGAAAGAAAGGAATATACACATTTTATTATCATATTCATTTTATATAAACTACCGTTTACAAGTTTGGGGATGTAAGATTTTTAATGTTTTTGAAAGAAGTCTCTTATACTCACCAAGGCTGCATTTATTTGTGCAAAAATACAGTGAGAACAGTAATACTGTGAAATATTATTACAATTTAAAATAACTGTTTTCTATCTGAATATATATTAAAATGTAATTTATTTGTGTGACAAAGCTATGAATCTTTCGCAGTCTTCAGTGTCACATGATCCTTCAGAAATCATTCTAATATGCTGATTTGCTGCTCAAGAAACATTTCTTATTATTATCAATGTTGAAAACTGTTGTGCTGCCTAATATTTTAGTGGAAACTGTAATAATGTTTTTTCAGGATTCTTTGATGAATAATAAGTTAAAATGAACAGTATTTGTTTCAACATTATAAATGTCTTTCCTGTCACTTTTGATCAATTTAATGTGTCCTTACTGAAAAACTTGCTGTTAGTACAATAGTGTATAGGCTATTTTATATGCTGAATATGTCTATATTTAAAATCCGTGTTTATAACAATAAACACCAAATTAAATTAAATGATCAATGATCCAAATTAAACTAAATTTGTTAAATTAGAAGATAGATAGATGGAAAGGCGCCAGTTCTGTATAGCTGTACCATGGTCAGGAAAAACAAATGGTGAATAAATGGTGTAATTAGGCAAAGAAGTTATCAAGTGTGAGCATGCATGCAGCCATGCAAATATATATATCAGTTACCGTAAGAGGCATGTTCTTGAGTTTTATCGAATAGATTCATGCTGTGAAAAAATGCAGAAAGAGATAGAGAGAGAGAGAGAGAGAGAACGATGATGTGCTACAACACAAGAAAGCTCTAGGGAATGGTGGGCGGTGAGTGAAGTCTGAAGGCTTGGACAGGAACATGGAGGCAGCAACTAACTATATTCTGTAATGAATATACATTGCCACCTTCCGTTCACAATCAGAACTACAATCAAGAACCCAAACCCTCTAAATACATTTGTGTACAGTACACCAGATATCAAATATTATTTTACAAAATTCAATAACTGACCCATCAAAAAGACGAAGTACCTTCTTTAGGCAATGAAGCATAATACATTTTGAAAACTTTATTGTTGCACATTGCTTACAGGTTCACATAAAGTAGGCAATTCAGTCAATACTATGCAGTATACATTTGAACAGAATAGAAGTATGCTAGTATTTCATTCTGACACAACCATGGTAAGGAAGTCAAAATACCTGAATAGAGTTTCTGGTAGCATCCTATTCATATTCGCCTCAATGGCAGTTGCTCAAATAGGCCTATTACATGCAGTCCCAGAGAATGTGATGCTGTCATATTCAGTCACTGGCCACTCTGTTCCAGACACAAACTAGTTTTAGCCAATCACCAGAGCCATAGATGGCATTTTGCTTGCATAATAGGCTAGTAGGCCACAGCTCTACCACCAGCTGCTACATATCTCTGTAGGCTAACCTGGAAGTTAGCATCACCCTCCTTCCCTCAACAAAAAGTCAAAAACCCAAAAAGACTTTTCCTATTGCAGAAAATAAGCTTTGTGAAGTTTATGATTCTTACACATTTTGTTCATCATGATAATCTTCTGAACTGAGCACAACTTTTATGAATTTGACACATTCACCAGAAGTAAAAACCTAAACATAAACTATAAATGAACTACACCAAGGTCACATAATTTCAACATCACCAACATTAACCCTTTAGATCTTTCTTTTAAGTTTGAGTAGGAATAGTTAGCAATAGGGCTGTCGCGATTCGTCGATTTTATTCGACTATTCGACTTTTTAAAATCCTCGACTTAATTTTGCTCGCGTCGACTAACCGGCAAAATACCGGAAGTGGCGCATTTCACGGACGAGAATCCATAAAACACATTCTTCTTCTTCTTCTTCTTCTTCTTGGTTTTTACTCTGTTTTAATGGTTAAATTAAATTTTATTAATCAAAAAGCCTGTCTAATTAATTGAGTTTTACAGTTTTATCTTTACCAAATTCTGTTTCCATTATTTTCTGGATTCCATTTTAATGGTTCCATTAAATTTTAATAATCAAAAGCATCTCCAATTAATTGATTTTATATTTTTTTTTTAATAAAAATCTTTTTTTTTTCAGAAATACTGCACATTTACATTTTTCTCCTAAATAAATTCTGGTAAATAACATTTCTGGTAAATACTCCTTTAAAAAGTGTTTTTTATTATAATTTTATTATTAGTAGACTAGAACACGTGGATATGTTGTCATTCTTACACTATAATACTGAACTTGATTTCAGTGATTTGGACTATAAAATGGATGCACTTTACTTTTGCTTTAAAAAAAATGATTTCATAGAAATTTGGATTTCATTTGGTTTAATAAAATATAGTTTAATAAAATATTCTTAAGTAAAATTGGTGATTTTTTGTGGGAACTTAATCGTTTAGAATAATCGAAATAAAAATAGTCATTAGTGGCAGCCCTAGTTAGCAAAGGTGCAATTATAAACACGAGTGAATGGATGAGTTTTCCTGTTGAGTATGATCATTATGACATTTATTGTCCCGTTTAACCTTTTTTTTTTTTTTTAGCAATAGTTGTCTTTATCAAGACAAACAAAAGCTTTCAAAAATAACAGAGTGTAATACTGATGTATTTTATGTAATAGAATAACACATGAAAAAACTGCAGACCTTATTTCAGGCATTTAACCTAAAACCCATTCATAAAACCCATTGACTTCAGGATAATGGAACCGGAGGTTCTAATGCCAACTTGTTTCTGGGTTTGGGCTACAAAAATATGTCATCCCTGCTGCAGCCTATTGCAAATTCGGTCTAAATGATTTTTAACATGCCAGTCTGTTATTGTAGTAATATTTCAGCCCCAAAATGGCACATAAAACAAAACAAAACAACCCAAAGTGGGTCGTTCTTGGCCAGAATAAGCTGCAATTTGGACCAGCCATTAGTCTAACACTAGCAAAGCTTTGACCCCCTAAGCCATGGTCAATAACTGTATGGACTCAAGTTCTCTCTGTTGCCTTCTGCAGGTCTGTCTATGTCAGTGCAGCACAGCTTTCTGTACTCTGGCCTCTCAGGGTTTAATGGTGCTCTGGGTTGCATGGCCGTAGGAGTGTTTTACATACTTAGCTGTAGAACACATCTCTTATCTATTGCAAATGGTGAGTAATGCACAGAAACATCCTTTGTAGTGTTATTTCATTTTTCTACAACTAAATTATTTATTCTCTCTGCAGCCTTGCTTTCAGCTTACACAGACATCGCCTTGAGCAACCTGCTAGGAGTTGTAAGTGAACACACAAATATGCACACTCTGTCCAGCACACCCTCTGGGTTTCATTTCTGTATTCAGCCAGTTTTTGTTTGTTTCCCTCTCACCTGTGCAGTTGGGTCTCCCAGCAAGCAGTTGGGCTGCAACTCTGACAGGCACTCTGATGCTGTTGCTGACAGGAAAAAACCTCAAAGAATACAGAATCCCTACTGGAAAAGTATCCTCGCCAGAACAGAACTTGCACTCACACAAGCAATGGTCTGTGGCCAATACGAATGCAACTGATGTATAGTGTTTACATAAATTCATAGATATATAAATATCCAACTGTGACAGCACATGACATTTGAAAAGAAATTACTACTTTTTTTCAGCAAAGGTGCATTAAATGGATCAAAAGTGACAGTAAAGTATTTTTCGAATGTTACAAAAGATTTATTTTTCAAATAAATGCTCATCAAAGAATCATGAAAAAATGTATCATGGCTTCCACAAAAATATTAAGCAGCACAACTGTTCTCAACATTGATAATATAAAGGTTTCTTAAGCACCAAATCAGCATATTACAATGATTTCTGAAGGACCATGAGACATTAAAGACTGGAGTACTGGATTGAAAATTCTGCTGACATCAAAATGAATAATTTGTATTTTAATACATTAAAATAGAAAAAAAATAATTGTATTAATAGTTAACAATACTCTTGTTTTTTTATCAAATAAATGCAGCCAAAACATTAAAAAACTTATCAACCACAGACTTTTGATCTGTAGTGTGTATATAATAAACAGTAGCGTTCTGATGTGTATATCAGAAATTACTAAGGTCATGAAATTAATATAATGTAAATACTTATGGACCATACATACACATAAACAAAAAGGAGACCTTTTGCGAGAAAGGAAAGGTTTTAATGATGCTGTAAACACGTTTTATTCCATTATTACAAAAACTGCAGTTGTACTGTACCATAATCCTTAAAAACATTAAATGCAAACAATTTAACATTAAATATTACTATCTAAGCTGAGACCTTTCAGTGTATACATATCACAATTCCAACATTAGAACCTGCAGAAATAGTGAAAGTGCTCTAAAATGGATGAAAAGTAAAGTTAGCATGCAAAATCAAATGTCTTTAACCATAAATGTACAAAAACTAGCAAATAATCTCAAATCGGTGAGATTATATCAAACGATATCAAATCAATGGTGCAAAAAAGCAGATTTAATTTATTATGTTTCTTTTATGATTGCCATGGCGATTAAAAAAGGCTATTGGTTAAAGATCAGAAGGCATATTATTGAATGTGTGGACAGACGTGCGTACAGTGAGTGTGTGTGTGTGTGAAGGGACAAAGAGAGAAGGCTAGAGCTAACAATAATTGAGCCTCTCAGAAGATTAGTGAGTATGTGTGAGAGAAAAAGAGAGTTCATTCAAAGAAAGAACTATAAAAAGCCCTGCAAGATGCACCATGATTCATCAGTCTTGGGAGGTCAGGGTCCCTTCAGCACACTGGAGGAGCTATTTCATGTCTATTACATAATATTCAGGAGTCTGCTTTGTGAGCCTGACCATGACTGGCTAGGGGAAGTTTGTGTGTGTGTGCGCTGAATACAGAAGAGAAACATTGTGCTTTTTGCTCCTACATCCATCCATAGCTGCAACACAGACACTCTCAATAAAAAACAGCAAGTTTTAGCATCCCCAACCACAGAGCCAAAAGTTTATGTGAACCAATAAAAGAGCTCCAAATGCATGGTGCAGTGAGAAAGCAAACTGAATGCTGATTAACGAAGATGAAGCTGTAAACAAGTGATCACTATTAAGTTCTTATTTTGTCCCTAACATTTTTTCACAAAGCCCCCAACTTTGACCATAAAGCCTAAAGGCCTGTTCACGCTAAGTCCAATGTGACTAAATGTCAAGAAATTTTAAAATAGTCACAAAAAGTGCCTACAGACAATCTCTGATAGTCCCACAACTACTTTCAGTGTAAACACATACCGTAAACCTACGTTTCCTACATTTTATTGTGGCTTGTACTATTATAAATAAAATATTCACAAACAAAATATTTTAACAAACAAAACAAATAACAATCAATCTGATGCCAAATTTTTGTTATTCTCTGAAATGCAAATGCCTAAAAAGCCTTCAAAAATTGCAGATCATCATAGTACAATATATATTTTTTCATCTGATCTTGGATTTGATTTTGGCATGCAAAATGCATTTCGTTTATTTATTTATTTTGGGGGTGTGGGGGGAATAGACCAAAGCACTTTCTAAGCCCAACCATTTTTCTAAGCACAACTATAACCACAGCTCCAGCCTCAAACATGGCAACATGTTCATTTGAAATCTGATTTTCTTTCAGCTGGATCCTGTGTGTTTTGGATATTTGCTTATAACAGCCTCCCCAAAACTACACCTTCTCTAGGCCGTGCTTCTCCACGGAGGATTTCCAGAAATCCCAGCTTTGTCAAAAATTCCATCCGTAATCCATCTATAGGCTGGACCTCGCAAAAAACACCCTGTGAACCTGAGGAAGAAAGAGAAATGAAATGCTCAAGGCTAATATCAATGATATTATCAGCCAGTCTGGAAACATGCTTAAAATCAGCGTTAGTTCACCGTTAGCTTTGAGGGCCGTTAGCAGGGCTGTGAGGAGGCTACGACTGACGCTACAATCCACCAGTTCAGGAAGAGCCTCAAGCCTGAGCTGAGAAGGGAAATGATACAGCAGGGAGTCTGGATAGTCCTGTTCTTCATGGAAATACAGCAGCGCCTCCTAGGGGTTTGGCGGAGAAAGTGCAATTCAAGCCATGTCAGGATTAGATGTTACTATTGCACCATTTTAAAAGTACTGCATAATAAGTGTGGTTGTGTGTTTAGCTTTAACTCTTACCTTTGTTGCAGTATGTCCACTCGCTCCATGGGGGCGTGAAGGATATTTGTCCCTCATAGCAGGTAGCCAGGTGGCCTGACATCGTTTGGCAAAGGAGCGGACATCCAGAATGCCCACAGCGCACCCACATACACCCAGTTCATCCTCCAGAACCAAGCTGTACTCTGGGCACAAGGCCAGAGACGCACCCAGACACCTGAAACACAAACACACACCAGAAAGAGGCTGATATTTCTCATATACCTCAGGACTGCAAAACATTAAGGAATTACATTTTAGTACAACCTCCTGTTTTCTTGTATTTTCTTAAAGAATGTGTTTTCCCTTTATATACAGTACCATTCAAATGTTTGGGGTTGATACAGTTTTTTAATATTTTAGAAAAATGTCTGCCAAGGCTGCATTTATTAGTAAAAATAGCAATATTGTGAAATATTGTTAACATTTTTAATTCATATTTTATTTTAATATATTTTTTAATGAAATGTATTCCTGTAATGGCAGGTCTGATTGTTCAGCAGCCATTATTCCAGTCTTCAGTGTCACATTTTTTTTTTGTAACATTATAAATGTCTTTACTGTCACTTCATCTCAGGAATCAGTGACAATGAGAAGATATAGTTTGTGCTCAGATGGAAGCATCTACTGAACAATAAAAGTCAGAACATTTTATATAGGGGCTGTGATATGCTTGAGAGCAATTCTTGCCTGTCCCCAATGAAATCTGGATGGGAGATGGCAGCATCCTGGCTCCCTTTACCCCTCTGATGCAACTGACGCACCATTCGGTACAGCTCCACCTAGAGTTGTGGGGGGAAAAAAACAATGAGAAGAGTCAGAAATGGGTAATGAGATTGAGTCAATTGGTTACCAAGTGTGCTTGAGTCACCTTGTCTTTTTGCTGGAATGGCCGTATATTATAAAGTCGAGAGGTGGGGAACAGAGGGGGAGGGTGACTGAACAACTCAGTGCTGGTCCCCACAGGCAGAAGCATCTGATTCACACCAACACCAGACAGAGGCAGACAAAACAAGAACGAGACAGGAAAAGATGAAGGAGACTGTGAAAAAACTGCAACAAATCAATCTGGCCCTTTAACCTAATCTAATGTAATTTGTAACTGAATCATTAATTATATCATTCTTACCTGCACCTCTCCAGATAGTCCTCCTTTAAACACCCATGGCTCCGCCTCCACGCCATGGAGCTCCGCCCCTGAAGAAGCCCCACACCCTGTGAACAATTCCAAACATCAAGAGTGCCAATCCACTGCAGGAACCAGTAGGTTTAAACAAATCATTTTGTGTTACTTAACTGTGAACACATTCAAATGTGTCATATTTCAGTTGGTTACAAGACAAGATTTTAATGTGTTTGACACTAATGTGATATTTTTTGATGCGCCATATTTTTGATGAACCATATTTGAACATACTACTGTTTGAATACACTACTGTTCAAAAGCTAGGAGTTGGTAATTTTTTTAATATTTTTGAATTGGTCACTAAGGGTGCATTTATTTGATATAAAATAAAAACAGCAATATTGTGAAACATTATTACAAATTACAATCACTTTTTTTCTGTTTTCATCTATCTGCAAATCTAATTTATGCCTGTGATTGCAAAGCTATGATATGCTCATTTGGTGCTCAAAAAACATTTTTATATTATTATCAATGTTAAAAACAGTTATGCTGCTTAATCATAAAGGTTTGTTTTCCAAAACACTTTATTGAATAGAATGTTGGACAAAAATAATGTTTTGCAACATTATATGTCACTTTTGATCAATTTTATGCACCCCTGCTAAATAGAAGTATTTTTTAAATTTCTTTTTAAAAAATCTTACTAAAAACAGTCATTTGAAAAGCAGTGTAAACTAACATGAATCAGATTTGAGAGCTGCAGCACAGCACAACATTTCTGAACATTTCTACATTTCTTTCTTTTCTTCACACAAAGCTAGTATAGACTTCAGAAAACTAAATATGAAGAAATTAATATGCTACAGTGTATAGGATGCATGTTTGACACTCACAGTGGAAGCAGTTCTTCCAGGAGCCTAGTGGAGAACCTTCACTCAGTATACGCCCCTCTGTGAAAGGAAATATGCTTGTGAGAAGATGGGAGATGGGTTCCTCACTTTTTATTTATCACATGAGGGGAAAAGGCCTACATGACAAGACAAGATCATCGAGATCAAATCATCCCTACTGTCTCTCTCACCTAGCCAGCAGATGAAAGCCTTGGCCACCAGCAGGGTGTTTCTCAAGTCCCAGATGTAAGGGTAAAGGTCGTAGAGAACAGCCCTATTGATGCTGTTCACAACAGCACCGTGCAGTAAAGCCACATCATCACACGCAGCCAGGAAACGGCCCGCACGGTCCCGCCATTCCTCTACCTGAGAGAGCAAAAATGAACAACAAAAACCTCAACCAAATACCACTTTCATGATGAATCATTACTATAATCTCAATATCATCAACTTTATTATAAACAAATCAAATGGCAAGTGAATTAATAGTGAATAAGGATCTTTTCACCTTCTGTGGCGAGGCCTTCTTGCCATTGCCATTGACACTGACACAGTGACAGTTGGCTTTGAGCCATGTGAGGTCCTGCAGCAGATTCTGAGCAGGTGGTCCATGTTCATGAGGCAGGTAGTACAGGCCTACAAGCAACTGGACCTGGGCCTCGCTGAGAGGAACCCTCCCAGAACACAATCCCCTTCTAGAGGTCTTTTCATGGCTGAAGCTCCTGGAGACCTGGTCCTCCCCAGCTTTCAGATCCTGGCTCATAAGAGGGTCTGCTGGGATTTCATCGCTAGCGAGAGCCCCTGTGCTCCGGGAAGAGATTATGGGACATTTGGGCTGGGCTCCACGTTGATTGTCTGAGCTATCGGAGGACTTTGATTTAACAGAGAGCGTTAAGGGCTTGAGGTTTGTTGGCCTCACTTGACGTCCTAAAAGAAACAGTGAGCAATAATTGGACACAAAATCCGATTCATGTCAGCACTTACAACAGATTCTTTGTGACATTAATCAATAATCAGTTAATAATCAATTAAAACTCAAGAAAATTAGCTGAAATAAAATAAGTTTAAGTACCAAAATTAGTGAAATAAATAATAAACAGAAATTAAAGCTCAAAAGAAATATATATATAAAAAAATATATATACAATACAACTAATAAAAGACAAAAGCAAATAACATTACTAAAATTTAAACTAAAAGGAAAATGAAAATAAAAATAAAATATATAAAAATATAAAAAATAAAAGCTAGTTACAAATATTACTAATTACTATAAATAGCACTAAAAATGTTCATAAAATAATAAAATGTTAATAAAAATGTTTTCAGTCATTATAAAATTTTATGAAATAACAAATAAAAATTTTCATATATTTAATGTACATAAATCACTTTTCAAATTTACAAATAAATTTGAGTTTGTTTTTTTTAATAGATGTTTCAGGATGCTTTACCAGGCTGCAGAGGAAGGCTGAGCTCCTTCATCCAGTCTTGCAAGGCAGATGACAACGCTCTATCCACACTATAGGCCTCTTCATTACCTACAGAGGTTATACTAGGTCAGCAAGGGGCAGGATATTTCTTTATACTCCTATTGAGTGCTTCTGTATGTTTGTTCATTCAATGTTTAAACGCTCTATGTTTTTACATTAATGAATTTACAGTAGCAGATGCTTTTATACAAAACAACTTACATTCCATTCAAGATATACATTTGATCAGATTTTGCATGCCCTGGGAATCAATTTCATAATCTTAACATATCTACAGCCATACTACAATATTTAAGCCTCTCTATCCTCCATTCTGCTCTTACCTTTCCCCTCCTCCTTTCCTTCTTTATACCAGCTTCCCAGGGTATGCAGAGGGATGAAATTGGCTTCAAATTCGCAGTTTGGATTTAGCAGCAGACCCCTCAGATGGGCCCTGAGTCCAGGGGGGCGTCCCTTAAAAGGCCCCAGGAAGACACGTCGGGAGTCATAATCATTAGCATGAAGGTTGTCCCAAATGAGGGGTGGCCTTCGAAGCACCGATTGGACCTCAGCTAGTGATTCAGGACTCAGTTCCCGTGATATCACCTTATTTCCTATAGGAGAATGATGTGACCAAATATGTGAATGTTAGAAGTGTGGTTTCTGTAACAAACTGACACTCAGTGAGTGTGAATTTTTTAAGGACACACTGAAAATGTATCTCACCGGTCCAGATGACAGAGATGCCAGGGAGAAGATCCTCCCCAACTGTCAGCAGGTAGGCAGACTTTGACACGCTAGGAGTGCACAGAGAACTACAGTACTCTAGAGAGAAAATAAATAATAGCACAGTACTGTTTGGGGGAAAGAATGAGAGAACAATGTAAGAAAAGGCACAGAGAATGACAATGAGGTTTTAAGATGGGTAGTGTCAGATCATCCAAAATGTAGATCAATTTTTTTCTTCATTAAAACAGATTTGGAGAAGTTTACCATTATTGCATTACATCACTTGCTCACCAATTGATCCTCTGCAGTGAATGGGTGCCGTCAGAATGAGAGTCCAAACAGCTGATAAAAGCATCACAATAATCCACAAGTAATCTATGCAAAATCCTATGTAAAGTAAAAGTTTTGTGTTTGTATTAAACAAGTCCATCATTAAGGCATTTTTAACTTCAAATCATTGCTTCCTCAAGTCTAGTCTGAATCAGGAGAGAAATATGCAGAGATCAAGCACTGCTCACAAGCGAAAACCATACAAAACTGTTCTAAACAAATATGTTGGTGAATTTTGATGTGAGAGGACAAAAGGGGATTAGTATAGATTATGGATTATGGATATTTTGGCCAGAAGCTATAGTTTAAAGTTAAATGCCTCAATTAATTATTTGTTTCTTACAAACACACAGTTTTTACTTCACAAGATGTTAATTGATGGACTGGACTCGCTGTTTGGACTCTCATTCTGGCGGCACCCATTCACTGCAGAGGATCCATTTGTGAACAAGTGACGTAATGCTAAATTTCTCCAAATCTTATGAAGAAACAAACTCTTGTACATCTTGGATAGCCTGAGGGTTAATAGATCTTAAGCCGATTTAAATTTTTGTTTGAACTATTCCTTTAAGGTAACATTAAGTAAATGTGTCACTTTATTAAACTGATTTTTGCTCTGTAATGAACTAAGCTTGACATATTTATGTATTAGCTTACCAGTGGGACAGAATAGGAAGACAGGTGGTTCCCCCAGGAAACGGAAGATCTCATTGGCCACTGTAACCTGGGCCTGAGCGAATGAGGAAAAGGCCTCTGTATCTGACTGGCACATGGAGTGATCAATGTCATCAAATAGGAGGGCAAAAGCCTGACAGCCCAGGTCTGACACCTAGTGGAGAAATAGTGGCATTCATGAACTAACACATATACATTTATATAGTTAATTATCTGAAAAAGGCATTTGGGTTAAGATATGAAAGCCTAACACACAGCAGCAGCTCACACCAATAACAGAACAACAGTTGTGCAAATGTGTCTTTGATCACAAGAAAGCGCGATGAAAATGAGAGGGAGATGAAGTGAGTTTGCTTACTTGTCTGAGTTTGCGTTTAAGCAGTGTGAGGTCACAAGAGCTGGAGAAGACGATATCCTGACCCGGAGAAAGAGCGTATACAAATGTCAAACCCCTCGACTCTGCCTCACACACCAAAGCGGTTAACTGAGCTGGAGACAGTGACAGAAAGATGGAGAGAGAATGAAAACGTGAAAGGTTTTCAGGTGTGATACGACCCTAAAAACACAGAAATATAGTGCCACAATGGTGCCACAAATACCATACGAGAATCACACTATTTTCTAACAATACTCATGAGTCGTTATTTGTTATACTGAATGCAGGCAAAAATGTATCTTTTTATATAGTTAATTATCTGAAAAAGGCATTTGGGTTAAGATATGAAAGCCTAACATACAGCAGCAGCTCACACCAATAACTGAATGCCATATAATGGCAAAATATAATTTGTGTTTGTATAATAATATGATTAGGTGCCATTTAGGAATTTTGTTCTTAGAAATACATTTTAACAATCTCTGCTAAGACGACCAAGCATTTATATTCTGATTGCTCAGATTATGTTTTCTAGATATTAATATTTTGGGGGCAGTAATAATAAAAAATAATGAAAGCCTTTAGATATACAAAGATCAGTAAATTAAATTAAAATAGACAGATTAAATAAACACTTTAACCCAGTGCTTCTATATACTGTAATCTGAAATATCTAAATACTGGGTATAAATAAATACACATACCCTCTTCCTCTGCTGAATAAACCTCCCTCCACAGTAACCTGTGCTTCAGATCATCTTTAGGACCATACAGATATGTGTTCAAACTCCACATCTGCATCCTGAAAGGGACAATAGGGAACAGGTGCATTAAGAGACAAATCATATCAGTGGATTTTCAATCATGTTTTGAGAATATTGTGTAAGAAGAGAACAAGGCACAGCAGGGAGAAAGAGAGAGAGAGAGAGAGAGACAGGCAGAAAATAGAGACATTCATTGATCTTGCACCATTAATAATATAAGGGGACGCATTTCCTGCAGGGAATGAGTGTGAGTTTAACAACAGCAAAGGGTCGATTCCTCTGCAGAGGAAAAAAGTGAATGGTCTGCCCCTCTATGAATTTCAACCTATTTATGAACAAAAACAGTTTAACTGCAGTGCGATATTTGAGTGTTGTTCTTAATATAATCATTTCGGTGGCAATGACAATGGCCTCTAAATAAATATTAAATGAAGATCATGATTACTGCACAAAATGCGCACTATTACCAATACAGAGATTTAACTTGAACTTTCAAGTCCCATGGGAACTTTTGTGATGTAAAGGTCAAATTAAAACATTAAGAAATCTTGAGAACTTCTTACCATGCTTTTATCATTTATTTTTGCATTTTTTTGTTTTAAATGGCTTTAAGATTTTATTGCTGCATCCATGCCCCAGATTAATTAACAATTTTACAATCTACATAATGAGTGAAATAATCCTTTTGCAATTTTCCCTTTAAAAATATCAAAAGTTATTATACTTGGTAACCAACATGTCAATGTGGAGTAAATTCCATAATGTAAAATATCAAATAAAAGAGCTGAATTACAATATCAATATGACTAAAATATCGATATTTGAATTATGCATAGTGTAGAATCAAGTTGTACATTTGCCGAAATTATTGTAAAAAATATTATTTAAATCTACTAAGCAAACTGGCACTGTAGTGGTAATCATGATGTTTAGCCTATATACCGTTGGACATTGCTAGTGGACATTAAATAAACTAGCGTGAAAACTAGTGTTGAAAGTGTTATAGGAGAGTTTATTTTCTAAAACTCAACAAGACAAGTACTCTAGACTACTGTGGTCTGTAAGATGACTGTTTCAGAGGATGGGTTTCTTCCAGATTAACGTCTTAATCAAGATCTCAGACAAAAACTGAGTTAACTATAAATGAAATATTACATCTTTGCCTACCATAGAATGAGTGTGTCTGTGTGTCGTCTCAGGAGAAAAGCAGACTCCCTAAATAGATTGAGGCTAGTGCTTGTCTAAAATATTAAAGAACCTCCCCAAAGGTTAACCTCAAGCAAGCGTGTGCACACACTCACTCACACACACACACACACACACAAAGCTAATTTTGGGTCTCTCCCTCTCCAAACTATTTAAAATGCTAATGCACAAATCTATCGTTCACTCTTTCTCTCCCTCTTCCTCCCCCACTTCCCTTTTCTCCTCCTTCTCTCCCTTCATCTACTGCATCAGCACAATCGCTTCACTCTCAATCAAGCGTGTAAAAGTTCTCATTCCCCTTCTTTCGCCTGCACTATTAATCTTTTCATCCAGGGTTGAGTTTGGACCAGTGCCTCTTTCACTTGTGTGTGTGGGTGGGTAGGATACTCTCTCGCTTCTCTCCTTTCTTCCTGTGCAGATGGATTCCCACACACTCTTAATTTCTGTCATGTCCAATGCCATTGTACATTAATGTAAATTCTACTGATTTGGACGTCACAACCCAAGGCATCAATCAGAACAGGCTGAAAAATATATACAAATCAGTAATTTTTCACATAGTATGTATGCCATATACCATGTGTTTCAAAAGATGTCTCAGAATGGGAAAGAATATATCAATCACAAGCTATTATTCATCTTTTTTCAAGTTTAAGAAAATCTGCTTTACCAAACTTAAAGGGAAGAGAACTTCATTTTTGCTGATCGAATCTACTAGTTAATGCCAGCTCACTGAGTAAAGTGTGAGCTTTGTTCATTAGTGCTGCAGCAGAGAGAGAGAAAACTGCTTTCTGACTGAATGGGAGCAGGGACTCAATACAGGACAGCAGCAAATACTTGTTTTAAGTGCTGATGTGTTGGTGTCACCTCCAGATTCTTAGTTATAGATAAACCAGGAAGACTAGCTTGACCAACAGCTTCAGTTTTGTTGGAAACCATAATGGCAAACAGCTAGACCAGCACTAAATCAAGCTGAACCATCATGGAAAGATGGTGTTTTCAGCAGGGATACCTCAAAAAGTTCACCCCAAGATGAAAATTTTCTGGATATTTACTCACCATCCATCCAAGATGTAGATGAGTTTGTTTGTTCATTGAAACAGATTTGGAGAAATTTAACACTCCATCACTTGCTCACAAGTGGATCCTCTGCAGTGAATGGGTGCCATGAGAATGAGAGTACAAACAGATGATAAAAACATTACAACTAATCCACATGACTCCATCCATCAATTAACATCTAAAACACCCTAATGATGGATTTATGTATTACAAATATCATAGGCGGAGGGTGAACCAACTCCAGGGTAAGGCAAAAAGCAGCCAAATCTATTAAAGGGGTCATATGATGCTATTTTAAAGATCATTATTTGGTGTATTTGGTGTAACAGAATATGTTGACATGCTTTAATGTTCAAAAAACACATTATTTTTCAAATACTGTACATTATTGTAGGTCCTCTATGCCCCGCCTCTCTCAAACGCTTCGTTTTCTACAAAGTCCCTCCTTCCGACAAGCGCAGTCTGCTCTGATTGGCCAGCTGACCCAGTGCATTGTGATTGGCCGAACACCACAAGCATGCGTTGGAAATGTAACGCCCCTTACCATAATCGCGAGCTTCATCTTTCAAAATAAATGTAAAGACAGAGCCCGAAAGGGGAACAGAGTCGTGTGACAGACACAGTGATGATGCAGTACACAAGCCGCGGTTAAGACAGCTGACGTGCTGATTTCTGACAGGCAGTTCACTCTCCTGTGATGTGACCCTGTCCCCCTCACACACACACACACGACATGTTACTCTGCGCTGCGCAAAACTCCTCATTTGAACAGTCAATAGCAAATACTTAAACTAATAACAAAACATACTTACAGTCGCTGATTCAGAAGCGCCAGATTGTCATAGCAAAGTCGGAATTTACCCTTTTTTTAAAAATTTTTTTATAGCCTTTGTGCACAGCCAGCCTTTTTACTCTTCTAGGTTCAAAAAACTGTCGTCCATAAAATGCGTTGCACAAATTCGAACATCTGGGTTGTGCTGTTCTGTTGTAAATATATCTTAACCAATTATTCCTAATTGCATCTACTTCCGGGAGGCCAAATAAAGTGCTTTTGCTTTCGCACTGAAACACACAGCGTCTCCCTGACATGGCTGCATCAACACTAGAGCCCGACCGATATGAGTTTTTTGGGGCCGATACCGATACCGATATTAGGGAGTTGAGAAAAAAGGCCGATATCGATATATTGGCCGATATTCTTTGTGTATATTATAGTACAGTACACGGATGTACACACTTTCTAAACGCTTCGCTAGTGCTCGCCATAGTAGGAAAGAAAAAGCTCTTACTTTGCTTTTTGGAATGCACGCTTCAAACAGACCGGTCAGTGAAGACGAAGAAGAGAATGATGTGTGCTCCCGGCGCCTATTTATACTATAGTCGCAACGGTAGTGACGTCATGGCTGTCGCCGGCCAACGAGTTGGTGTTTTTTCAATGTATGCTTCAGACACGGGTCACGACGAGGCGTTCCCCATAGCGACCCCTAGAGGACGCAGTTCGAAGTTCCCACGAAAGGGAACTTGAAATCGCATCATATGATCCCTTTAACTACAAACATCATAAACCCATCTTTTTAGGCAAGAACCAGACATGGGTGTCATGTAGGCTAATAAAATATTTTTAATGGGACTGAATTTGTATTTAACATGATTACAGTTTAATAAAAACATTAGAAATTGATAATTATAAAACGTTTCCTTTCCAAGGTTATTCAAACAGTGAATAAATTATTATACAGAAAGTGACATATCATTAACTTTGATCTATCACGAGTTTAAGCACTCTCAAAAAAACAAAACTATCGTTTTAATCACTGAAGCTGTCTACATTTTTAAATGAATCTCTTATGTTGTACTTACATCTGCGCTTTGTTGTTTATGGTGAGAGAATAAGCGGTATTCAGTCAGCGAACGCGCCCTCACTCAAAACTGATGAGTTTCAGCGATGACTCATCTGAACGCCTCTGATTGGCCATTGCATTCCTAAGCTCAACAGAATCGCATGTGATTGGTTATAATGCGCAACACTGTAAAAACGCGTAAAATGAAATACGGTGCAACATGAGCAGTTCTTAATTTAATGCCGCAATCGACACTTTCTAATCATTTTCATTTTGTTAGCAACAGACGTAATAGATGTAATTTGTTTGCATGGGGCATTTTCGTCCAATTTAGTGGCATTTTCCCCCTAGCCTTCCCCAGCCTTACACACGCTCCGCCTATGACAAATATGGACTGGAGTTGTGTGGATTACTTGTGTACCATTGTGATGCTTTTATCAGCTGTTGAACTCTTATTCTTATGGCACCCATTCACTGTAATGGTAAATTTCTCTAAATCTTTTCCAATAAAGAAACAAACTCATTTAGATGGCTTGAGGGTGAGCACATGTTCAGCAAATTGACATTTTAGGGTGAACAATTCCTTTTAAGAATATAGCAAATAATAATAACACTTTCTCTCTTTTCTTCTACTTCACCCATGCTCTGATTCAAAATGGATTTGTTCCTTGCCACTGATTTCACCACTGCTAATGTATGAAAATGTGTGAAACTGGCTCAGTGGAGTCATGCTGGCACCAATGTCCAGTCATTAGTCATAAAAAGCCACTTGTCTCTCTGCCTACACGACTTTACACCCGGGCAGCTTTACTGTACTGCTATGATACCACCATGTTTCCAACATGATCTAAATAAATATCCCTTGTTACATTACATAACTGCAGATATTTAATATATAATATTTTGTGTCCCTTTAGTGATACAAATTTATATAAAGTGCAATCTTGTCATCCCATCCCATACTTACCACTGAAATAGCACCTTCCTTTGTTCCATTGACCAGGGTCTCCCATAGAAACCTAAGGAGTACAATATACAGATATATCACACCTTTAACACATGCAGACACACACGTGATTTGTTCTCCATTTACACAAGGCAGCATTTCATAACCATCACAAAGCTTCAATATTTCTGTTCTCTTCCACCTCCTCTTCACTGCAACCCACTCAAAACAGTCGGATTTTGGGCAGACTCTGAATTATGGGCTTGGAGCTTTCATGCTATACTGGACCAGTTATGTAATAGCAATCAGGGCCATCCATCGCTAGGGGTGGGCATTGGGAAGCAGTGCAGGATTATATGTATCAAAGCTTTGTTTGAGGCACTCTGTAACAAGTAAACTGCATAGTTTTTAGAGTTGTTTATACACATATTTAGCTGTGTTTTCTGTACAATTTTTCAGGAAGACTACCATGGCACTACTTGAATTCACTCTGAATACTTTATGGCTGGTCATTTCACATGTTGGTCAGGTGGTCTCTTTCCGTCTAAGTGGGTAGTTCTTGGCCAGAATAAGCTGCAATGAGAAACAGATTTTTGAAGCAAGCACAGACTTTTTGCTGCAAACATTCTGCACTGTTTTGTGGTTGCTTGTGCAGAAAACATTTAGAATAATTAGTAAAACATTTAAATACACAGAATTCATGTACTGTCATGAAGTTATATATTTATATATAATATATATTTAATATTTATTAAATTATTGTAGCATTAAAAACAAGTTAATCCATGTTACATCCATATCCACATTTACAATATGCATCCGTCCTCTCAATAAATTTAAACTAACTTGTACTGAGAGCTGATAAACAACTTCACAAGACACATCCAATGGATTTTCTATCTTAACTTCCAAAAACTTTATAGAATTTGGCACTGACACTGTTCTAGCATTCTAGGATTAGATTTTGCTGCATTAGGTAAGACAGTGGTTGGTTATTATTTATTATTCATGCTGGCTGCCATGCTGATGGAAAAACAAACCACGCATATATTCATGCTTGATTTGCTTCAGTAATTATGAATATAGCATGACTGGTTACTGGTATGTGAACAATAACAAATCAATAATTTGTATAGAATACATTTATATAGAAGGATGTTGTATGGAATGTATGGCTCTGGCCATCAGGATGAAAAAATCTATTTAGAAACTCGGTGTATCTTTTACTTAACAGCAGTCTGGCTTTACTAACATGTGGTTATTCAAGTCAAGACAAGTCAAGACTTTTCACAATACAAATAAGCTGCATACGAAATCTCATATTGTCTCGTAACGGAGCTTCATTTTGGTTTGAAACTTAAACTTCACGACTGGGGAGTACGATTTAAATATGGATGTTCTACATTCATCATGTTGTCACAGTCACATGACAAACCAGCATCTGTTGCAGCACTTCACTGCCATTCACAAGTCCTCTCCCATGATGCTCCAGAATCTTGGTGTAAGTAGGTGATCCAGGCACTTTTCGAATAGTATGAATTCAGACATATTACTCTTTTGGCATACTGTTTTTCGCATACTAAATATGCAGTGACCAGAGCTGGGTAGTGACTGATTGATTACATGTAATTTGGATTATGTAATCAGATTCCAAAAATTATGTGCTTATAATTAGATTAAATTACATTTTAAAATACTCATAATCAGACTACGGTTACTTTTTTTATTGCTTACATGATTACATATTATTCATACAATAGCAATAAATTATTTATAATTTAAAGTAAACAAGTGAATATTCAATTATTTTAGTAAGTGTTTTATATTAATTGATGTTATTTTAAAATTTTATTTTAATTTTACATTTTTATGATCAAATTAATTATTAGCTTTTCATCAAACTCACAAATCCCTGCAGTTCCTTTCGAAACTACAGTTTGGGAAACCTTGAAGTACTGTAATGTTTAATGCACTTTATGTAGTTAATAACAATAAATGGAATATATTTTCTTACCCTCTGTATTTTTATATCAATATGGTACAAGATTATCCTATTTATTTTTTAGTTAGGTCAAAAGTAATCAAAAAGTAGTCTGATTATATTACCTAAAAATGTGTAATGTAATGGATTACGTCACTAACTTTGCCATGCACTGTAAAAAATGACCGTGAATTTAGCGGTAAAAGACTGTAAAAATGCTACAGTAAAAACCTGTTAAATGGTTGATGGTAAATTCCCCTACTATATACGGTTAAAAACTGTATTGGGCATTACATGTAATTTTACGGTAGTATACCGTTTTTGGAAGTGGAAAAACTTATCAGTTTTGTATATTAGGGTTGTGTGTTACACCTAATTTTGTTAAATTAATGTTTATTGCATTATTTCAGTTTCATGTGTGTTACCATGATGGGGTTTAGTGTTTGTGTGAATGACACTGGTCACCTTCTATATATGTTATTTAAAGGCTACTTGTGATGGGCTTTGGTTCATCATGTGACTTTCTCATCACCACCTGCATTTGGTGGTTATCAGTGTATTACAAAGGTACAAAACAGATTTCCGTACTTATAGGTTGGTATATTAACACTCTATCAGTTAATGAAATTACGGTATTTAACTGAGAATTTAATTTAAAACCGTAAAACCTAAAATGTTGGTACCATATTTTTTTATGGTAAAATTCCGGCAACCACAGCTACCGGTTTTTTACCGTAAATTTTACGGATTTTTTTTTTTACAGTTTGGAATCAGTAATGGATTACAATTTGTCAGTAATCTACCCACCTCTGGCAGCGACTTGTCAAGGCAAGTTTACAGAAAAAAACATGATGTTAATGTTCATGATCTTAATATCATCATGCTTTATAGTTGTACTTAGTAAATTACAGTTGGGTGATAATAAAGTTTACATTTTGCAACAGTCAAACAGTCAAAATTTGCTGAATAGTATATATATATCGCTTGATGTGAGTATGTATGTATGTATGCAGATAAAGTTGGATATACTTAAATATCTAACTTTATATAGAGAGCTGGGTGATAATATTGTTCACAATTTGCAATGATATAAATGATGACATAGATTTGTTACATAGTATATATCTCTTTACGTGAGAGTTCTGTATGTATGCAAGTAAAGTTAGATTACTTATAGATCACAAAGTGTGTCTCCCCTCTTCTTTCCCACATATTCTAGCGACAACCCTGATATTGGATATCCATGCCAGTGTGGTTCTAAAGTTTGCAGCTGTAGAACAGAAGTGGGTCAGTAAGAAAAAGCTACTGGAATCCAGCAGGGTGACATTTCCACAGGAGAAAAAAGACAAATCACCCACCGAGCCAATAATGTGACACTGAGCTGCAAACAAGAGTAAGGCCAATTAGGAGATATGCACAACATGCCTGTGTGTGCACAGGGGACGGAAATGTGTGTGTAATTGAGAGTGTGTGTGTCTCTGGCCAGCTGCTTCCTATCACACTCCAGTATAAATATGAAAATAAATACCCAGGATGCTCCACGGCGCCTTAATAAGATGAATTGCCCTACAAGCCCATGAATTAGAAATGGGTTATTTTAGAGGCTAATTATAGGTGTCTTTATAGCTTGGCTCTTGTTTTTTCCCCCGTAAATAATTTGAGTAAATAACGGTTTGACAATACATTACCGCACTAAATCACGTTAAACGTGCCCTTTAACGAATAAATCTCATGTATCTCTTTGGTCGTATCTGTGGCTCCCACCCAAGCACCCAGATAAATGATGTTTCGTAAACTTACCCTCAACAACACCGCATAAAAACTCGTGTCGCCCCTCCATCATCGCTGTGATTGTCTGTCGGGATGCTCAGGATGCGGATGCTTTAATCTCTCCGCGCCTTGTCATCTGGACTGAAGTCTTCAGCCGCGCATCCTCCCCTCCGACACACACAGAGCATGCGAACTGAAGCCGCAAGGCATGAAGATAGAGAAGAATTGCGTTTATTATTGCTGTTATGTGTTGTTTTTTAGAAATCAAACATTGGCAAACTGTCAAACGTGGACGTTTCTTGTCTATGTCAGCTCGGTTCTGCCTCCTGTCTATTCGCTCAACGTACTCTACGTGTTGTTGCCAGATCACGCAAGACAAACACGCAACCTTGCTCCAATAGTGGTTCGATTCTAAAAAGAAAACAGTCCAAAATAAGCAAGGGGTACTTAATTTCGCTTAAAATTAATCATAGAAATCATTGGATCACTGGTTAAGTAAAATAGAATTAGCAAGGATGAATTGAAACTTGCAAAAACAAAAATGTTAAAATGATTAATTTTCAATAAATATATCGTTGTACAAAAATAATTAAAATATTTCACATAACTGGCCATCTCAATCAATCTCCGTCTTTGTAGAGCGACGCTTGAACAGTAAATAGTGGTTGATCGCAATGACATTTTAACTGTTTTATCAATGTTTTATTGTTTTAAAACCCATTCACAGAAAAAACAATAACTTTAAGGACAACTATAAGAATAACGATAACTATATTAGCAGCCACATCAAAGGATAATAACATTCTGTTTTATTATAAGAGTTGCAGTTATGTCATCTGCTTCTTAACGTGCTGGAGTTTATTAAAACGCGTCGAAAATTAATTCTGAAAGTTATTCAAACCACATTATTCCAATAATAATGAGTCCAATAAGTCCAATAAAACTTGCATTAGCCCGCCCATTATTATAAGAGACTTTATGAAGAAAAAAATCCATATTAGCTTATAATATGCGGACATGGCAACACTGACTCCAGTAGAGCATCTCGCGCCATCTAGCGGCCAGCGTGTCACATCAACACACAACACATTTCAAACACTGCTGTTCGCAGTTGGATTTTCCGAAATAACACTGAATTAGGAATGAATTAGGCTTGATTATGAATCGCGTACGTTTTGAGTTAAAAATAAATGATCAAAACAAACTTTTATACATATATGCTGTGCATCTGGCTCCTTCGGCTAATGTTATTTATGGTTGTCTTGGTTACACAGTGCAACCAACTCTGGGAGTGGAAAAGAATGAAGAACTAGACTGATTCGGTAGGCTTCATTGGGCTAGTAACGTTAAATACGTTAGAAATCCTTTAGTCGTGCTGTATGCGAGTTAACAGCTTTGTCTAGGTGGTTTCAGGATGTCATCAAAGAAGATAAGCGAGTCAAAGAGCCAGCAGGACGCAGGTGTCTCGGCTGAGAGCGATGGACAGGATGAGAGACAGATGCTGTTACACAAAGAGTGAGTTATCTGTAGAGATGCAAAGAACATTTTGAATCACTTTTGATGTAGACAGTACGTCAGTCTAGTTAATATCGCTTTGCAACCCACAGATATGAGACCCTAACTGAGAACCTATGCGCACTGAAGAGGAGAGTTGAACAAAAGTATCCTTTTGCACAAACAGAAACATAATTCCTTGCTGAAACCACATTACCATACTACAATTGATTGCTTCTGTTGTCCTCATTTGTAAGTCGCTTTGGATAAAAGCGTCTAATAAATGACTAAATATATATATATATATATATATATATATATCATGTTCACAGATATATACAGATCATTCTTGTTCTCTGTGCTATGCAGAAAGAGTACATGTCATATATGTCTAAAAGAGCAGAGAAGAGGCAGAATGCAATATTGAATTTGAGTGATCAGAGCCATAAGGAACTTGAGGAGCTGCAGAGACAGAGACAGAACATGCAGGATAAACATGAGGAGCAGACCAATGGTAAGACAAGTGTTAATGCGTCTGTACAGGAAATGGAAATGAAGAATAAATGTGTGATTATAATGTACTGTAAATGACTGAAGATGCAGTTTGTCATATGCTTTCTTGGTTACAAATCAATTCACAAATGGGTGCAATCAGTACTTCGCTAGATGCTATTAAAACATCAAATGTTGCACTTCAGATGTGTGTTGGTTGTGTTTTCAGAGTTGCAGATGGAGATCCTGCAGACGGAAAATCAGCTGGCCCTGCTAAATAGTGAAATTGCAGACCTGAAAGAGGTTAAGGTAGCAGGATCTCTTTTCTTATTTTTTGTGGGCATTTGTACTGGGGTTAAATTGTAATGTAATTAGGATTTTCACATCCTGTTTATATGAAGGGTCTTCTACCTTTTTCTAACTAAGCGTCATTTGATGGATAGACAAATGGAACAGGGTACCTATTGGTACATATATAAAATTTATTTATGCATTTTAAACTTGGCCTTTAATAACACAGACTAAGTACCATATTTGTTTATTTACATATATTGAATTGCATATCCATTTGAATAATCATCATAATTTTTTTATCACACATTTTCATTTAAAAAAAAAAAGTTTTTCATATCAAACATCAATTGACAGACCCCTGCATTAACACTGTGGTCCTCATTGGAGTCACAGACCCCCTTTCAAAGACGCCTGACTTTTATAGCATTTTCATTTAATATGAACTAGTGGAATCAATTATAACATTTTTTCAATGCATATTGAACTGAATAGTTTCTGAAATAAGTGGAAACTTGTGTCATTGTTTTCAAATTGACATAATTTTTTCATACTGCACTGAGGTGGAATGGTTTTTTTACATATGTATTCATGTATTATATGTGTCGTAGACTCTAAAACAGCAGCAGTCGTGTCGTATCACTGAGCTGGAGAAGGAGCTGACTACCATGCAGTGTCATCATTCAGAGTCTCTGGTGGCTCTCAAGGCTGACTTCATTAAAAAGAGGAAGAGCTGTGAGCAACAGGCAGAAGACACTGTGCATGCTCTCACTATATCAGCCAACAAGGTGAGTGAATGCTGTTGTGAATTCAGTCAGTATAATTGTACAGTTACATCACCATAAGTTACCAGGTCAGGATATTTTCTTTCCCTTTTTCCCAGGAGGCATCTCACTCCCTGATGTCCTATATAAATAAAGTGTTTCAGGAGAAAAAAAGCCTGCATGAGGAGTATAAATTCCTTTTCCAGAGAGCTCTAGCTCTACAAAAACAGCAGGACGCTCTGCAGACTCATCGACAGCAACTGCTGCTGGAGCAAAAGTGTATGCAGAAGATTCATGCCCAACGTATTTCCCTACGCTCAAAATACGCAACACCAGCCGGTGCAAACCATAACGAACACCCCCAGAGTGACCACCAGTAACTGGCAATAACTGGAGCCAGTTCAGTTACAACAGTTGCTTTCAATAAACATACAAAGATTATTGTATGACTCAAGAGAAGTATTTGCTGAAGTGAGAAAAAACTTTGCTTATTGACCTCTTTACTATCTCAGCAGGTCAAGATACAGAAAGAGCAACGGCTGGTCCAATATTTTGAAAATGAATATGTCAGAAATTCATATACAAAGAGGTGTGTCAATAGGTTCAGGTGGCGCTTTTTTTCTCAAATCTTGTTAAATTCCTCAAATTGTATACGATACGATTTATTAAATAGTAACTAAAACAGTTAAAACATTTTTCTTTTTTTCTGTTATGCTAAAGAAAGTCATACAGGTTTGGAACAACAGAGGTTGAATAAATGATTGCAGAATTTTATTTTTTTGGTCATTTATCCATTTGCTGGTTTGAATAAACCTCACCTAAAGATGAATACAAGCGCTCAGAAACTGAAAATATAAGTAGCATATAGATTTATCAGTCATAAAGTGGTAGCAAATCATTACTGATCTATTTGCATTTACAAAGATTTATTGCACAAACCAAGTGACATTTTAATATTATGTACTATTATAATCATTAATATTTTGAATTAGCTTTTATTTTTAGATTATCCGTTTTAACTTTAGCTTGTGTTTTAGTCATTTTGTTATGTGCTTTTTGTAATTTGTTTTTAACATTTATTTTTAGCTTTGTTTTTATTTCAGTTTTAGTAATGAAACTTGTTTATTTAGGTTAGTTGCCAAGGCAACATCTCTAATTTTTGTTTACATTTTTTTTTTAGTTTTTAGGGGGGCGTGGCAGAGTCTTAACTTTGATAAAGAATATCTCTTTGGTTTTGAGACTTTAGTCTTTGCAACTTCAGGGATCTTATCTATGCACAATCAGCTTGTAACACTCCAAAGAGAAAGGAAAACTTGAAATCGCATCATATGACCCCTTTAAGTTTTTGATCTAATATTTTTTCAGCTTTATTTCACTTAACAAAACCATTTTTAATAGTTTTAGTTTCAGTTAACAATAAGATCACTGAAACCGACAAGTATAGGCAACTAGAGTGCATGTGCTGAATGCTGAATGTGTGTGTGTGTCTTTAAGCGTTCGAGTGTGTGATTTCTGGTTTGACTGGTTTTTCTCTAAGAGGAAGTGATAGCAAGTCTTTTAAACACTGTTTGCAAGAGACAAATCAGGTAAGCATTTGACTAAATATAATCATTTGTGTTTATTTTATTTAACACGTACCAAACTATTTGTAATAAAAGGCGTTCTGTTTCTTTTATAAAGTAGAGCAGTTTCTTTGCAGGGATGAAGTTGGTTGGTGTGGCTCTGATGTTTTGTGCAATTACATATTTAAGATCAGGTAATCATTTTCACCTTGTAGAAAAAGCAGACAGTGTTGTGCATTTCAAGATCCAGTGATACCAGGTCCATTTAATGTTGCAAATAAAACCACAGCAGAGCTGTTCTGTGATCAGAGTGATTTCTGTGTGCATGTATTTGTGTTGTATTTGCTACAGTCATGTAAAATGCAGAAGATTTAGCATTATGAGGAGAGACAGATGGGTTACTTTACTTCAACTCCTATACAACCATAAATGAACTGGTGTTCTTATATGTCCAATTCAGACATGGTTTTCTTTGTCTTAGAGATGTATAATGTTGTGGGACCTGCAGAACCTCTCTTTGCTCTCACTGGTGAAGATGTGATCCTGCCCTGTTCCATCAAGCCCAACACCAGTGCTGTAAACATGAGAGTGGAATGGTTTAGACTTGACCTTCAAGACTCAATAGTGTATCTCTATGAAAATGGTGAAAACAAAGTCACGAAGCAGAACCAGTACTTCAGAGGGAGAACAGCACTGTTCCAAGAAGAACTACAGAATGGAAACGCATCACTCAAACTCTCATCAGTCCAAGTCTCTGATGA